GTTAGTAGTACGTACGTTAGTTAGTTACGTTACGTTAGTTCGTTAGTTACGTTTAGTTTAGTTACGTTAGTTACGTTACGTTACGTTACGTTCGTCTCTCTCTCTCTCTCTCTCTCTCTCTCTCTCTCTCTCTCTCTCTCTCTCTCTCTCTCTCTCTCTCACACACACACACACACACACTTGTCAAGATAATGATTTTTTTTTTCTTTTTGTATTTCAAATTTATGGCTTTTCTTTTCTTGTTAGAGGATATGTCGATGTTATTGGTTTGTCTATGCTGTTGTATTGCACCTATTTTAAAAATCTTTGTATGGTATTTACTGATTTAAATGCAATAAAAAGACTTGGTGAAATTAGTCATATTTGCTAAATTGGAGAGTGATAAAACTGCTTGCTTAATTATCCTGGCTAAAAAGATGAAATTGGAAGTTTAAATAAATGGGTACCTGTGATTTATTTTTGTGGCATTTAGTACATAATTTACTGGATTAGTTCTGAAGCGGACAGATTTTCTGGAATCTAACTTGCTTCTTCGACATTTCCTCCACGTAAAATAAAAGAATTGAAAATCTGAAAGATTTTATTTTTAAGAATTTTTGGAAAAAATCTGGACGATGGCTTTTCAGATTTAGCAGGATATATGACAAGTTTTATGAGTTGTTGGTTTCTGATATCAGTGGCTTTGTACATGTCATGATCGGAATATTGAGATACATTAGGTAGGAATTGTCAAATCAGGAGATGGGCCAGTTGTAGGGAAATGTTTGAGATATTGGACTCGAATATTTAATAGAAAATTTGTACTCTGTTTACATGAACCTTGTTACCTATGGGCGCGAGATGGGTGTGGATGAGATAGATATCGGTAGCTTTCTTGAACTGGCCTATGTATGGGGCCTTCACTTATTTGTGAGTATTTCCTTACCATTGTATTGAAAGACATTCGATTACTTGAAGAGTAATGAGACCATTCACTTTTGGTAAGAAAAGGTCATAACCACCCCTAGCCGTCAGATGTAAAATCATGTGCCTGTGGGCGTATTTTGACTGTGCTGAAAGTCTGAGAAAGTTTCCGAGAACTTTGTGGAGAAATGACGCACCCCAACTGGCTGGTTTGGCATTTGACGGCTTGAGGTGTGTTTGTCACCCTTGTGTTAGAAAGGTAATATCTTATTGTATACAATCCCTTTTTTCTCTGACTGGGACCTGTGTGCATATGGTCCCTATCTTAGTTTAGATGTGATCAATTAGACAAAAGAAGGCATCCATCAGCCTAAAATATGCAGCTACGTAGAGCTATAATGGGCAGCACGACTCGGCTTTTCGGTGAAGTACGAAGAATCTATTTTCTTTTTCTTTTATAGTATCTGATCACATAATCATCGCCTTTTTTTTTCTTTTTTGATGTCATAAATGTTTCCATCATTGGTGGTACAAACCAGCATAGTTTTGTATAGATGTCCACCAATTGTCTGAGCGCTTATTGTAGGAAGTGCATCATAAATTGAAGATCAAGTGTTGCACACATGAACTTGCATAAACATAATAAAACATCAGATTACAATGGGCATGGAGTGACATTGTAGATTCAAGAAATACCCTTAGGGTCTTGTTGATCAGATGACTCAGTTGGATTGAGCCACATGCACCATGGCCCCATGGCACCACGAAAATCAGATACTTCTGAAACACTGGTAAAAATATAAAGACCGCCTTAGCCATCCTTGGGAATTTGTTCTCCTTGGAGGTTTACTCGGATTCTATAAATTGTAAGATGGGCCAGTAATTTCTCAGAATAAGAAACAAGCAATTCTTGCCATGATTTTGACCTTCTGGAATTCGATAATTGTTCATAATTATTGATATCTGCTTTCAAATTTTATCCTTGCCTTCTTTTCGATAGCCACATCATGGTGCTAAGTCTTGTATCTGTTAAATGTGATTGCAAAGATTTTGTTATCTTGTCACAGGGTGCTCAGGCTGTTGGAATGGGTAAGGATGCTCAGAGTGTGCAAGCCGGTGCTGAACTATTTCTAAAGGCCAATGAGATCCTTGGGTAAGGTTAATTAAAACCATTGCCTAGCTTACTCTTTTACCTTTTTGGTTTGTAGCTTGTCACCTTATGAAGGAGATCAATCGCATGTGTATTTTTACTTTTAATTTGGAAACCGTTGTACTGTTTGCCTTTCGTGAGGTAAATTCCTAGAACTCTCATTCTCATTTAATTTTTGTCCAATGGCTCAGTTACGATCTTCTGGATGTGTGCTTGAATGGACCAAAAGAAAAACTGGATTCAACAGTAATAAGCCAGGTAGCTGCATTTCCTAAACTGAAATATAAGGACTGCCTGGGTTTCTTTATATTTGCAATTTAGTGATTCTTAATGAGCAAACTTGCAACCTTTTTTTAAGTATTGCACCAATACTTAATTACATATTTGATATTTTTTTGTTCTCTGAATGGATCTGTCTTTGCAGCCTGCAATCTATGTTACAAGCTTAGCTGCTGTTGAAGTACTACGAGCTCGTGATGGGGGACAGCAAATAATTGATTCTGTGGATGTCACATGTGGTCTTAGTTTGGGAGAGTACACTGCACTTGCATTTGCTGGAGCTTTTAGGTACTTATAACCTTAGAGCGTCTGTAGTACAATATGTATTTGTGACTTATTAGTAGTGCTTGTCTTTTTAAGTGAGCTATAATCCAATTTGGAAAGGTAGTATACTTCATTTCTCATGAATGCATAAGCAAGGAAATAAAATGTTGATTTTTTATTTTATAGTAATAAAATGTGGATTTTGTCAAAAAGAGAAAAAGTAATCAGTAATTTGTTTGTTACTGCTCCATGGTCCATGATTTGCTTGGAGAGTTTGCCCTTCTTATTTACAATAAACAACCCAATTTTCTGGTATGACTAGATCGCCAAAACGAGAAAAAAAAGATGGGAAAGGGGTGTTAAGGAGATGGCGAGATAGCATCTCAAATGGCCATCGCTCCCCTAAACTCTGCAAGAACTGTATTCTGGAGCACTCCATACTTGTATTACTCAACTCTCATGGATATGTGAGCAGAGCAAGTAATTATTTTATTATCAAATGTGGACTTCGTACTCATAGAAAAAATGCATTGTGGATTTATCAGCTTGAATTTATTTGAGTTCCTGCATGTATCCTTTGAGAAACTCTTTTGTAATTATCTCTTTAAGTTTTTGATAGTTTTGCTTGATATTTTAGCTTTGAAGATGGGCTCAAGCTCGTCAAACTGAGAGGTGAAGCCATGCAGGTCCGAATCGAATAGTTCTTTCACAATTTACTTCATTTATTATTTGGTAATTTCTATTTTTGAGTGCTTATAGCAATGGATATGATTCTCTCACTTCTTAACCAGGAAGCTTCAGATGCTGCTAAAAGTGCTATGGTTAGCGTAATAGGACTTGATTCAGAAAAAGTCCAAATGTTGTGTGATGCAGCCAACGAGGAAGTTGATGAGCAAAATAAAGTTCAAATTGCAAATTTCCTTTGCACCGTGAGTTCCTTTAATATGATTCTTCTCTTATTAGAATTTCCGGGTGCTTTGGAAATGCAATCCTTACATGATAAAATGTTGTTTGGTTGTAGGGAAACTATGCAGTCTCTGGGGGAGTGAAAGGAGTGGAAGCAGTGGAGGCCAAGGCAAAGTCATTTAAAGCAAGGATGACAGTAAGTACTCTGTGTACAATGCATTTCTTTTTCCAGTTGTTCTTTTTCCTTCTTTTTCAGTATATTTGGCTTTAATCCGAGTATGGTACTTCAGTTCCTTTAATAATGTCATGAAATATAATTCTGTTTATTAGACAGCTCCCAACTTCAGCATTTCTTACTCCACAAGATTTTAACTTATTTATAAAACAAAAGGCCGTGAGGGTTGGCAGGTGCTGATGCATGAGATCTGGTTTTTAATCTCGTCTCATGGCCTGCACCTTCAAGGGAGCAGAATGCCAAATTGTATTTCTGTGGTCTTCTCTCTCTCTCTCTCCCTCTCTCTCTCTCTGCTCTGTTTATTTTTATTTTTCTCATTTCCTTTTGTTCCTTGTATACTCTTCTTCCCTTCTGAAGTCACTTTAGGAATAGGATATTTACCATTAAAACATCCATCTTCATCGTCCAAATTTGTGGCAAAGTACTATGGATACTGCTGCAACTTTAGTCTTAATGTTATTCCTTTTCTTCCCCTCATGATAACATTAGTACCATACTGATTTATTATGAGGCTTCCACACTTCTCATGCTTTGATTGATCTTATGTATAATTGTATCACCAAATCTTTGATGTTTCTGTATTATTCAAGCATGTAGTAATGAATATTCCCATTTTCTGAAATATCCGAATCATAACAAGAGACTTCAAATAAGATAGTTGTCCCAATATTCTGAGATACCCCGCCTCATCTCACCTCCTCTTTATTTTTTTTACTGATTTTTATGCTATAGAAAAATAATTTATACATCAATGTATGAATTTGCAAGAAAATTTTAAGTTTTGAACACGTCTATTCTTGTAGGTTCGCCTAGCTGTTGCAGGGGCATTCCATACCCGCTTCATGGAACCTGCTGTTTCAAGGCTTGAAGCAGCATTGGCATTAACAAATATTAAAACTCCAAGAATACCTGTCATATCAAATGTTGATGCCCAGCCACACTCAGATCCTGACACCATTAAGAAGATATTGGCCCGTCAGGTGGAACTCTTGCTTTTTGTCACTCCAAATTTCACTTGAAATTTTCCTTCTGTCTTATGGGATCATTGCCATTCTTTATTTCTTATTTTTCTTATGAGAATGTGGAAATTGTGCAAATTATTATTGCCTCCTGTTTGTCAAAGTCTCTCGACTTACTTTTTTTGTCGGGTTCGGATTTCTCTTTTGCTTTTCGGGGAATTTCACAGGTTACGTCTCCTGTTCAATGGGAAACAACAGTGAAGACTCTAATGAGCAAAGGTCTCAAAAAAAGCTATGAATTGGGGCCAGGAAAGGTATGACTGGCATTGCTACATAAAGATGGAGAGGGAGGCAGATCCTGCCTACATCTTGCCTCTTTGTGTGTGTGAGAGAGAGTCTTCAACATTGATGGTATTTTCAATACTTGAGATTGGTGGCTTTCTTATTAATATTTTCCTTGAATATTGCTTCAGGTTATTGCTGGGATAGTTAAAAGGATGAATAAGGGGGCCGATATTAAGAACATTACTGCGTAGCGTAACAAGATTCATTTTCCGAGAACACCATTTCCACAGAGTATGCAGGCAAGCTCTTTGTATGATCCAACAGTGTATGCACACATAAAATAACCCTTTTTGTTCCTTGACTATCTTATGAAAATGTTTTTGTGGCGATTCCTTTTCTGGGATTTTGAGAGTTAATAACTTTGTAGAACCATTCATTATACTATTCATTAATACTATGATGTGAGATTTTTGAGTGTCACATTTGAGGAGGGAAAAGGTTTATATAAGGTGTAAATCTCGTACCATTGAAGTAAAGTGCATCCCAAAAATCATCTAGAAGAGAATGTTCCAATGTTCAAAAATCCTTCAATTTCATCATTTTGACCTCAAGATGTATGGATAACAAGAAAAAAAGTAATTTAAGTCCAAAAAATTGGACATCGTGTAACAAATTATATATCAATTTTCAAGATTTGGAATTATTTATATATCTTCTCATTCTGTTCCTTTTTGTAATTTTAAATTTCATAACCAGCAATAAAAATAGATTATCAAGCCAGGTTCCCATCACTGAACTACATCTCCAAAAAAAAAAAAAAAAAAATGGAAGTGCACTCCTACAGTAACAGGAGGGACCTTATAGAAACCTCTCCATTTGAGGAGATGCTTTGCTTGGGCGTTCATGCTTGAGCGACAGAGAGCGAGATACATGCTCTCATTCTCATCCCATCCTACGGTACCTACCAATGGTTTAAAAAACAGATCGGTGATCCGGATCGGGCTTCCAAAAAATCAATCGGGTGAATCGGTCCGAATAAAGCTTAAAAAAAATTCGAAAAAATTATTAAAATTCATTATAAATATTGTTTTTTAGGAATTCAATAAAAAATGAGGGTATTCCATTAAGAATTTTCATGTTTTTGAATGAATATGCGAATATTGATATGTTCTTTCCCTGCATGAACCGTCATTCAGCA